TTTTTGATGGGCTTTCGAATGGTGTATGAATTATTTGTGTTGTTATTACAAGTGTTGCTGTGACCCCCTAGGAAAAGGTTATGCCCCGTCCTGTAGTTGGGCCACTTTTTCAAATTTGTTTCTTCTTGATCGAAGTCAGTGTTTCTGTTTTCAGCTGGCTGGAAATAGCATTACTGAACTATGCCTCTTCATCCAGAAGGGTACCAGATTTGTTTTAAAAATGTCGTAAAATTGTTCCTCTTCCACAAAAGGACAAATGACTAGTAAAAGTGTGAAGTCAGCCTTACAAAAGATTAGATTGGCAGCTGTTTTTGAAATAGTAAATGTTGCACAATACAATCTGAATAAAAGAAATCCAGAGCATTAATCTGATGTTAAGAATCGGGAAGATCAATGCACAAGATTTTCATTCCCTCCAGGAAATACTATATTTCTCTCCCACCTTTATTATTGTAATAAATAAGGCATCCCCTTTGTCCTCCTATTTATGTTACTTTCAACTATTGGATAGGGGCTCACACATGCTGATGTAGGGAGTTGCATTATAGAAATATTTTTTGGAAACTGAGCCAGGTGATGATGAATTGATGTGCAGCAAAATAATATTTGATGCATTTAAGTGGTGGTAGACACCGGCAGCTCAAAAGACAGGTATTTTAACATTAGCAAGTAGAATGGCGCACCATTGAATTGAGACTGGAAGGAGAAAGACCCTGCACTAGTTTTTCTTCACACATTATTTTGCTACATGTAAGTGGCTGCATTGTATTAGTGATATGATCAAAACTTAAACTGTAGTCATTTGGCTCAGCTGTGTCCAAAAAGACAGGTTCCTTGCTTCTGTTTCCAGGGTAGAAACTGTAAGTAAAAACAATGTCTCTTTAGCTGGTAGGCAAGAGTATACAAAGAAGAAGTTGTTTACTATTACTGTATTTTGCTATTTAGTCTTTAAAACATAATTGTGTAGCATTTATGTTTGTGTGTGTGAGTGCGTGTGTGTATGTGTATGTATGTATATAATATAAATATAAATAAATGCCTATGTATGTGTATTCCAGCATAACTCTGGAACGTCTCGAGCAATTTCAACCAAAGTAAGATGACTTACTCTCTGAAACAAATGCTATGGGGATAAGATACCCCCTAACACGCCTCGGAGTGTATAGTCTGTTACGATACAGCATGTTGTGCCTTAAAATGGCTTCTACTGTACTGCCATAAAATGGCTTCTACTTTAGAACGCAGTGGAATTGCCATAGTAACATCTTCACAGTACTCCACCAGGAGGATCCCTCTGATAAGGGGGAAAAATCCAACATTAGAAATTATGTTTGGTCCGGACATTTTCTTCCTATAAATAAATACCCAGGCAATGCCGGGTTATCAGCACTAGTGTGAAATAAAAACACTGAAGATTTATTGTTCCAATTAAAGTATCAATAAAATTAAATAGTTAATATTTATTAACTGTTATGTACAGCAAGGAAGAAGACCTTGATGGAAGATAGAAGAAACAACATGTAGCTAGGTAAAAAGGACTGATGTGTTTAAGATCAGAAGTTCTAGATAACTTCCAAAAGTGGTTCAGGCAGACACCTCCAGGGGTACAGGGTACAGCAAAATCAGACTTGCAGGATTCTCTCAATCTCAGTAAAAGTTTTAGCCTTTTGGAGTTTTAAGGGAGACATCAATAATAGTTCCTCCTCACTGGTGGGTTTCACATTTTGTTACAGTTTGTCCCTTCTGCTCATGTGCCCGGCCTTCCACAGCATAGAGCTTGGGCCAGATCCACGATTTCCGCTACCAGTTCAGGGAAACTGGTCCGAACCGGCTGAATACCACCTCTGTTCCTCCTGCAATTTACTCAATAGCGTGACCCGACAAAAGAGCGCACGACAAAACCGCGCCGACAAACCTGCGTCGCTAAAACCGCGATGTCATCAACGCGGCGACAAGGGCGCTTTACAACAGCGCGGCGACAGAAAGCCGATTTAAGTTAAGGTAAAGGTTAGGGTTAGGTTTAGGGTTAGTGTTACGTTTAGGGTTAGCGTTAGCGTTACGTTTAGGGTTAGGTTTAGTTTTACAGCTCGCTTCTGTCACCGCGCTGTTGTCGGCGCGATTCATCGCTCATTCGTCAGAGCGATTTAGAACTTGCGGTTTTGTCACAGCGGTTTATCGGGCGCGGTTTTGTCGTTCGCCCTTTTGTCGGTGAACCATTCAGTAGTATGGTGAACAGAAGTTTATTTGGGAAGTGTCAGCCCTTAATAGGCAATATCAAAAAACAGGCATGCCAGCAATGCTGTTTTAGATTAGCAAGATCTAGAAAATTGTCTCTTTTTCTCTCTGCTATATCTTAAATCAAACATGGGCAATAGGCAAACTCAAAATAACTCAATTATTTTGAGTTTCTTTCTCATACTATCCTCTTTCCAGGACTGAATATTATGTTTGCATAGTTCACTTTGCTGTTTTTATTCTTGTTTTACTATGATGTATTTTGCTTTCTGTTCTACCATATTGTAGAATATAGAACTGTTTACCATCCTAGGGCAACCAGTAAGTTGAAAATAGGTTTAATAAATGAAAGAAAGAAATACCTCCCAAAAGTCTGCTTTGGTCTGATGCCAGTCCATGTAAAACGTTTTAGCTGTTTCAAAGGCATTCTCCCCTCAGCTTGATAATTCTGAAAGAGAATACAATTCTGATAATGAAGCTTTGGACTTTCTTTTATAACATTGCCAAACCTATCTTGATGCAATTTCAATAATTTCAAAATATTAAACTTTGTTTAATAAACTTAAAACTTTAATAGGTAGAAAAGATTGGCAAGATTCACAGTAGCATTGTGGTGAGGAAAATTTTATTTATTTCATGTCCAGATCAAACCTTAAGCTGCCCAAATGAGGCCACCTTTTTCGTTTTATAATTGGCCAGAAACAAACTTTGTCTTTTGTGATTTGTGAGGAAAATGATCAATAGTCAATGGATCTATTCTGCTTGGTTGAACTTGCGCTCATTCCTCTTATTTGTATCTATAATATGATGGACCTTCAATTTTTATGCATGATCTATGGCTCAACAAATATATAAGCTAGGTTCTTTGAGTTTAGATTTCAATAAGTGCTTTATGATCTCCTGAACTCTTTCCAGGCTGCTGTTAAAATCTTGAACCAGAGGAAAGGGGAAAAAATTGTCATCCACCTCATAATCGGTATCTTTTTCCCAAATCCTCCTTACCACTGCTTAAGCAGTCTCTTACTTAAATCGGAATAAAGCAGGATTAGAGATTTGAGAGCTAGCAGTTATGTTTTTGGGAGATCCAGGTGGGTTCAACTATTCCCTATTCCCAATCCAACTCAAGTTATGATGATCCACTTTTAGCTCCTAGGGCCGTGATGGCGAACCTATGGCACTCGTGCCAGATGTGGCATGCAGAGCCCTCTCTGTGGGCATGTGCGCCATCACCAGCTGCTCTTCTGGTTTCCAGTGTTGGTCTTTGCGGGTGCTGGAGCACTTGGAAAGTGGCCTGAAAATGACCCCAAACCAGGAGATTTTCTAGTCCTTTTTCATGCCATTGTTCTGGCTATTTTCCATTTCTCCAGCGTCCGCAAAGACCATTACAAAAATGGCCCCCAAACGCCCACAAAAGAAGCCAAAAAAACAAGCATATGCATGCTGGGCAGCTAGTCTTAGGGTTTCCCATTGCTCTGACGTGCACACATATTATGGTTTGGGCAGTGGTGGGTTTCAAAAAAAATTAAAACCTCTTCTGTAGGTGTGGCCTGATTTATGGGAGTGGCTTGCTGGCCATGTGACTAGGTGGGAGTGGCTTGCTGGCCATGTGACCGGGTGGGAGTGGCTTGCTGGCCATGTGACC